AAAAAAAAAAAAGCGAAACTTTAAACTTGAACTAGCTTAGAGTGACAGGACTGGGAGAACGAGACATGGTTGCTTCAGCACACTTTGGGGGGAAAAAGGGACCAAAAGTTATTTTAGGCTTCCTCAATAGATTGCATGTGAAGTTGCTTATTAGATTAAGAGGCTAATAAATGAGATATGTATCGTCTTTACTATGGCATCTGTTTAGGAGTTGTTCAAATCACTGCAGTAGGGCTCTACAAATACAAATGTAACCTAACATCATGTATCTAATGTACTGTATCTTTATCAGTGATAGGTGAAATCTGGAATAACAAGTGCAAAAAACGGAACAATTACCTATAATGCTTTGTAAAAGAGTTTTTTCCAGTAGAAATCATACTTGTCATTTTGTAAGACAACCCTACAGCCCACCTGTTTGTAACTTTTTTTAATAAAATAGATACCTGTATTACCAAACTGGGCTCAGCTGGTCTGTGTTCCATTTCTTCTGCAGTGGGCCGAACAAGCAAGTCTCTTCCTTAAGTATATATATACATAGAATTATTTTTTTCTGGTTTGAGCATTTATGTTTGCCTTGTCCAAATCTGTAATGGCCTTGTTTTTCCACGCAGGCATTTCTGTGTGCAGGTGGCAGTGGGGGCAGGTCCTGCTGCTGTCATCTTGCTGTGTCTCCTGGTAACCCTGCGCTGGGCTCTCTGCCTCCTCCAGACGAGCACAGGTGGAGCCCTGCTTCAGAGAGGCAGAAGATTTCTCTAGGAAACCTTTCAGCTGTTTGCTGGCTGTTATCTTAAATGCTCGGTGAAAGCCTTACATTTGCTACGTGATTGAGTCATCTGGGCCCTGTAACAAGAACTGCTTCTTCCTCAGAGCTTACGGCTTGGTGCTTGACCTTCTGTGTTGCTTTTGTAACTAAAGATGTCTGTTAATGTGAGATGTGTTTGGAACTTTCAAAAACAGCCTTGCTGTCTTAGCAGCGCTTCTGGTTGGGTGGGCAGGCTGTCACCTCCCAGACTTAATGCCCCTCCTCCTGTAGAACAGCGTGAGCCTTATCTTGTTGGTAGGCTTCCGCTTCCTCTCTGAGATGGGGGAAATCATTTCCATCTCAAAGGAGGATGGCAGGGAGGAAGGGCAGGCGCCCCTCCTCAGTCGGCCTGTAGTAAATGAGTGCTTTCTCCAGGCTGTTGTGACCGGCAACGATGTGTCAGCAGATGCACCCGCTGACAGACTGCTGTGCTTTGAGATGTACTTGGCTGCTTCTCGTCTGTCTGATTTCTCTTGCAGTTAAAAAGCAATCATTGCACAGTAATGTTCCTGCTCTGTGTGGCACTGAGCTGCTGCGTTCCTGCTCAGACCTGGAGCTGTGTGTGAGTGCAGCCAGGAGGTCCCCGTGCCCTCACCTCCAGTTCGTGCAGTCGTCAGGGTTGGGGGCTTTAAAGAACCAGGTAAGATTTGTGTGCAGGGCCGTTCTATCTCTAAGGTCTTGGTGCTGGGATTCAGCTCAGCTGCTGCTGCACAAAGTGTCTTTGGCAAAATAGGCGTGACAGCTTTGTGCTGCTGTAAGCTGGGTTAGAGGGCACGCAGGTGGGGCTTCCCAGGCAGCTTCGCCTTGGTTTTCACAGTTCCTGCTACCAAAGCGCCGTGCAGGAAGCTCCCCGGCCTGCTTCTCGCACGGGTTTGACCCCGCTGTGTGTGAACGGCGCTCACCCAAACCTGGAGGACAATTCTTCCCCGTCCTGCACAGCCCTGTGACACGTCAATGAATTGCTAACGAGGGCAGAGCTGGCCTTGCAGCTCCGTGTGAAGGGAGGAAGTGCCGCAGATAGCGGCGTGGGTGGGGTGCGATGCTGCCGCCGCACCTCCTGGCGGGTGTGAGCTGTTATCTGCCGTCAGCTCTGCTGTAATTACAGCTGTGAGCGAGGTGCGAGTGTCTGGTCTTCATTAAAATGAGATACGGCTTCTAAAACAATGCGCTTTCATCGGTTTGAGTTCTCCCTGCTGGCCAGTCAGCAGCCCTGCGGTGCAGAGGTGGGCATTTCGGCCGTGCGTTGGGGTGGCAGCTGAGGAGGCCATGGGCAGACAGGGTTGCCCCCCTGTGCTCCACGTGGTGCGAAAGTGAAATCATTGGCTTTTATTTTACAAGTAGTTTTTGGCTCTGCCCGGTCCGTAGAGCTGCAAGGAGCAGAGGAGGTGAACTTTCAGCTGCGTATCAGCAACAGCAGCGCCGTGGTTAAATCCCGCTGTAGTTATTTGTTGGCTCTGTTGAGGGCAGTCTTGAGCTGATAATAGCTTTGCTGGCAGCGATGATGCAGTTTAATTACGGGATTGTAGAGAGTGCATTGCTCTTCTCAGAACGTGTACATTTGGTATGGAATCAACGCTTGAAATTTGCCTCTGGTCCTCTCTCAAAGCTGTGGTTCTCTTCGAGCTCTGCAAAAATCTGGAGCTATCTGCAATAATTGGTGGGGGAGGGTTTCTTGTGATGCAGGAATCTGAACTAATCCTCACTGAAGGGACGTGTGTGCTTTTAATGTTTGGTTTGTGATATGCCTGTGCTCCTTGGTGTTGCGACCTTCCTTAAGGGCTACCTGTCCTTTTGGGAACTGCCAGGCAGGATCGTTGTCAGCCTGGGATTCGTCCTGCCACTGTAAGAGACCTCAGACATTTATTCTTAGATGCAAATTAGCAATGGCTGTGGTCACTGCGGAAAAGCAAGAAGCAATAAACTGAATTTTGGGTGAAACTGTTGGAAGTGAGAGAAAGCTGTCAGGATGGCTGAAGTGCTGGGGTGATGTGCGTTTGGAGGTGATGGGGCATTTTTGAAGATAACAGTGGATGAGCATTGGCTGGATGAAGGAGCATGTGTGGTGTGCCCAGCCCTGCCTGGCTGTGCTGGGTTGCTGTGCAGGGTCTCTCCAAGTCCCCTGAGGCCCTGTGTCCCTACGACCCCAGTCACCATACTGATCCTGGCACTGATCCTGGCACTGGTTCCCATTGGATGGAATTAGCACGGACAAGCCAAATGCACTGCGCTTAAGCTCAGAAATGCAAATGTAGCCTTAAAATAGGTTTGAATAAAGATTTTAGCTCCAGGGCTTTTCCCTGTGGTCAGGCTGTTTGGAAGCGTATTGCAGTCCGCCTTTGAGTGGCTCCTTTTTGGGGGAAATGTCTGTTAGTTACCTCTCCAAACAAGTGTTTTAACTACGTCAGCTGTTTCTCACCCGTCAGAACACTGAATTACAGAATCACAGAATCACAGAATTGTAGGGGTTGGAAGGGACCTCCAGAGATCATTGTGTCCAACCCCCCTGCCAAAGCAGGTTCCCTACAGCAGGTCGCTGAATTGTTTTTATGAAGCCAAAAAGACAAACTTAGAAAGGTTTTATGAACATCCCGTTGGAACGTTTTGCCAGTCATGGTGTGTGAATGTTTCCTGTTCTTTAAATCGTGTCTGCCTTGCAGCTAGCACGCTCTGCTGGAAGGCCCTGGAAGAGGAACCGTGGGATAGAGGTTGCTTTGGATCGCTACAAAAGCAGCAAGCTCCCAGCTTCGGGTGGATGCTGCTCTGCTGTCTTCTCCTTCCTGCTGTAAAGAATGACTTCCACTCAACTGCAGCTCTGAATTGAGCTGTATGCTTGGAATTTGGTGAGTCTTGATAAAGCTGGTAGAGGTCTTCAAAGGAAGGGAGCTGTAGATGAGAGGCTACCAGGGGTGAAAACATTACCAAGACACAAGGTCGATGTCTGTGTGGTGGAGGTGGGTCTGATCCATTAGCCTGGAGGTTCCTTAACAACACGTGTGTTTCTTTGCCTAGATGTAATCAAGGCTTACTCAACTAGAGATGGTTGTCTCAAGCCAAGAGGGAAACCACATCTGTCATGAAAGTAAGCAGTATAGTTCCTTAGAAGTCCATATTTTCTTCTAGCACTCATTTTCTTCTTCAACTGTTGGAGAGTCCATTTGACAGCTTCCTCAGCATCAGCTTTGGGCCATAGGATCATTCTTGACGATGCTCAGCAGAGGCTTCCACCATCCTGGCCTTTAATTCCCTGCTGAGCAGTTGCTGCTGCTTACGATCTCGTAACTCTATTGCCAGAGCTATGTGAGCAGAGAGCTGCCCAGCTGTCATTCAGGTTTCTGCAGTGTAGCACCTGCATGGTGAAACCAATACGAGTTCCTAGCTGGCATCTGATGCTTTCTGCCTTGGAGCATAAGGTGGGAAGCTCTGCACGTGACTCAGAGAGCTGTACAGAAGGGGTTGATGGCTTCATCTGACAGCACTGAGGAGGACAGAGCCTGGGCACCGTGACCTCACAGCAGTACTGACTGCAGGTGAACCTGCACTGCTTTGCCTTGTTGGGCTGGGGTTGTGTTGGGTGGGCCTGGAAGAGTTTGGGCTTGGTGCAAACTGAGGACAGCCAAGCCAAGTCCTGGGGTTTTTCTGCTGCTACAAAAGATGTAGGGAGCTGCATCCCCCTGTAGAAACGATTGAATGCCAAATAATGCCTGAGTAACAGTGCCTGAGTCTATAGAAGCATCTGTGTTCCTCTGGCTTGAGAGGCTTTGCTTTTTCTGTATAAATCGCTTTCTTGTGTCTTGGAAGTGGTCTATCAAAATTAAACCTCACCGAGCACAACTGTCCTATTAAAAATGAGGTACTGTCGTATTCTGAATAACAGCTGAGTAGGGCTATTTAGGATTCTTATATACCATCTGCATTTGCTTAAAGCAAATTCTGCTTTGCTTCCTGATAGTACCTCATAGAATCATAGAATCGCGAGGTCGGAAAGGACCTGCAAGATCATCCAGTCCAACCATCCTTCTTCTGTGACACGTGAAATCTGGAGGGAAAAAACCAACAAAGAGCTGGCAGTGCTTCAGTGCACGGTGGGTGGTGGTTCTGCTGTGCTCGAGTGTTCAGCCCTGCAGGCACCAAGTTTGGGAACGGGGCTCTGAGCACCTGGTGGAGCTCCGGATGCCCCTGCTCAGTGCAGGGAGTTGGACCAGATGGCCTTTAAGGTCCCTTCCAACTCCATCGATTTTGATTTAAGCCTTATTGCTACTTGCAGCATCTTGTTGTCAGCCACAGCCACGAGAGGGAGCCTGGCTGCAAGCACAGCTCTGTAGGGATAGAGAACAAAAGATAAACGGAGAGACGCTGGTATTTCAGCGTAGTCGCAGCGCGTCTTACGAAGTGTTCCCAGGAAGTTTTGTGTTTGCAGTTAATTTCTCTATCAGCCATCTGGGGTTGCAGGTGACACTGGGAGACTTTTTGTGGGAGATCAGGGTTTGTCGCTCCTCCAGGTGACTGTCACTGTGTCACGGTGTCATTGCTGTGCTGGCACCGCCCGGGGTGACGCTGCTCAGCTCTCCCTTCCGCTCAGCACGGCACCTTCTGGGGAGAAGTGGGGCAAACTGGAGCGAGAAGTGTTGCTGCAGTGTCACCTTCTGGTGGCAAAGAGTAGGTGGCTCATAGCTGATGATCCTGCACCTAAAGCACAGAATTAACAATGCGACCACTTCTATTTCCCAGCAATGACTTCTGAGAGTAACATCAAACTATTTTGCTGTTGCTGAGCTAGCGAAGTTTGATGGAAATGCAAACACATCATTATTGTGCTCAATCCATAGGGTGGTTCTGGGTCAGAAGTTTCAGGAAGGGCAGATCTTTTGGCTGAGTCGATTGAGATGTGCTCAAACCAAAATGACTTGTGGCATCAGTGAGAAAGAATTGTCTTTGTTAAATAGTTAAGGAGCTTCTCTTAGTCAGGGCCAGTTGTTGGTGCTTTTCAGCCCTGTCAGACGACTGTACTCTTCTCCCAACAACAAATTGATGAGGTGTTTGTGTATAACAGCACTCACTAGCAGCCGCCTGCTGAGTTAGCCTGGAGGAAAGCCTTTCCTTTTGCTTCCTCTTTCTTCCCCTGCCCACATGGGTCCCCAGCTGCCACCAGCAGCAATCCAGGAACTGGCAGTCTAGGAATCCTTCCCTGGAGCTGGGAAGGTCCTTGCTGGCAGGAGGTGGCTGTGCTCGCACACAGAGTCAGCACAGCAGCAGGAGGGGGTTTGCCTGGACCTCCTGTCCCAGTATTTCTCTGTCCTGCAGTTATAGGGTCAAGGCTTATGTGCCTGGGACACAACTCAGAGCTTTCAGATGGTATCGGGGATAAGGCCCAAGCTCTGCTCTGCATCCCCAAGAAGGGCTCCACAGGGGTTGGTTCAGCACGAAGCATTTTGGGGGCTCAGGTGAGCTCCCCCAGTGCTGCTGGCAGGCTGGTTGCTTGCAGTGAGGCAGAGCAAAGCACAGTGCTGCTCTGCCACTTTTGCAGCAGAACCACTCTGCCCTTCCTCCTGACCCAGCTGTGTGATTCCTGCCCTCGCTTCGCCTTCCCATTTCTCACCAGTATCTGTAAAACTCTGTGTTACCGGCCTCTGTGCCAGCCCCATCAGCACGCAGCGTCGGTGCCCAGCCTTCTCCCATAGCAAGAGACGCACAGTTCACAGGGGGAAGAATCCTCCAGCACAGCGATGCCGTTCAGCCCTCTCTCAGGCATTCCGTGCCCTTGCTGCAGCCTCCCCTGCCCATCTGTGCGTGCAGCCCTGCACCCAGCTGTGGGGAGGATGCAGTGTGAGCGAGCAGAGGGGGCTCTCTGCCCTGCACGCCGCTCGCAGCAATAGGGCTCTGCGCCAGCCTGGCTCCAGGATGCTGCATCTGAAGGTCCAGTTCCTGGATGACTCCCAGAAGATCTTTGTAGTGGACGTAAGTGTGTCTTATAGAGTCTTATAGAGAAAGAGGAATGGCTTTTGCTTCTCTGGTGTTATCCTTTGGATACTGGGGAAGGTGAGGTGATGCTCTGGGCGGGGGTGGGGTGCTCTCGTTTCTCTGGCTGCTGTGTTAGCATCCAGCAAGCAAAAATAAGTCTGAGAACAGCATGAAAATTGCAGCTTGAACCACACAACCTGTGGTGAGAAACGTCTGTGTGCATCTCTCCTTAGGCATCGGGATGAAAAAGACAAGTATGTGGTTTTGGGAATAGCTAAGGAACAAGCTGACTGTATCTTGTTTTTACATGGCAGTGTCCCAAGGCACACTGTCACTGATAATTCACAGGTAATGAGTATGAGCTCTGAACATCCACTGCTGGAATACTTTTCATATGTCACACATTGATCTCAGAGGTGTTGGATTGGGGTGTGTGTGTACATGGATGATTGAAACTGAAGGTGATCGATGCCCTGTCTGTGTGCTGGAAGTGGGACTGAGCTGTTGGTTAGGCTTTGTTAATCACAGCAGCTGATTGAATGAGATAATCCAAGTGAATCTGTTCTAACCTTTACCTGCATCCATTATGGGACTGCTGTGTTTAATATAAAATTCATTTTTTAAAGTTCTGTTGCAGTTCTTAGGCTCTTGTGTTCCCTTTATAGACCACTGCTCAGTCTCGATGCACTGTTCGGTTGCTTTGTGACAGCGATTCTGCACAAAGAGGGTTGCAAAGTAATTCCATCATTTGGGATGACATGGAGGTCATCTGATTTGGTTTCTTTGATGCATTTTAGACCTGAGTTTTTCTTAAAAATGAGAGTGGTCACTTACAGATGTTTGCCAGGGATTCGTATTGATTAGATCAGGGCACTGTGAGAGACCATTGGAAAGATGCTGCTGTTACAATATTGCTGCATGTTATCCATCTCTGCTCTCTTCTTTGCTCAAAACAGTCCTGTGCCTCTGCTCACTATAGTGCAACAAATAGGTTCCATTAGAGGGACTCGGAGCCATTTCCTTTTTTAGCGTGGTAGGGTCCTGGAAATCCCTTTGGGGCACTTTGTGTGTTTCATGCTGTGTGGTTCAGATGAATGAGAACTGGATTAGAGACTTCTCCATTAGGAAGGGACCGCTTTGGGCTAAGTCTTGAGCACGCATTTGGAGACACTCATCCTAAGCCCTTCCCTGAGTTTGGAAAGCTTTTTTTAATGGAGAGCACTTCAGTGTAATGGGAGGAGAAGGACAGCAGAGAAAAAACATGGCAGCGCTGGTTACAAATCAGCTTAACACAGCGCTCCGGGGCAGGGGAAGGTATCAGTGAGTGGGTGCCTGGCTCTGGGTGGGCACAGGGCTGCTCTGCGGCTTGCAACACTGCGAAGGAGAGCGAGCACAGCCTCTCCTTTCCACCATCCCCACTGCTGTGCCTTGCAGCAGCCCCACAGGCAGCACCGAGGGCACATTTAGGGGACGTGGGCTGCAGCCCAGCCCTGTGCAGCAGCTGTGTGCAATGCACGCAGCCCAGCCAGCAGCTCGCTGCCCACACACGGGTGGGGAGCAACCCGCTGGGACGTGCCCGCCTTCCCCGCACGCCTGACAAAGGCCAAGGCCTTTCATGCTGGAAAATTCTAGCTTAGAAATCAACCATTATAATTGTTTTTAATTAGCCTTGCGATCTTGTAATTTCAAGGAGAACCGGGTGTGCTGCAGAGCAAATGCTGTTATTAGGCTATCACTGTGCAGCTGGCTGACAGTGCAGAGCTGGCAGCGGCTGTGACAGGTGCTCATTACTGAGCCCTGAGGCACCCACAGCACCCCCCCCCTGAACCCTGAGCTTCCCCTGTGCCGACCTGTCTGTGTTCCTGGTGTCTCTGCCCAAGTTGGTAACTTAGGAATTGAGTTTTTGCTGGTTTTTCTCTCTGCCCTGTTTAGTTTTGGTGCTTTCTGGCCTCCCGTGTCACAGCGTGGTGCTACTTCATTAGCACTTTGCTGACCCAGGGTGCAGGATCTCTGCAGGCTCTGTTGTCGTTAATTACCACTAATTGCAGCTTATCGTGCCTAGCTGTGGGGCAGCCAGGTAGTGTCTGTCTGCAGCTCCAATCCCAACAGCGGTGACTGCAACGGGTGTCCTGAGACCGAGAGATCTCTCCCAGTTTATCGAGCTCCTAAAGAAAGGTGAGAAGTGATGGGGAGAAATCCGACCTCCATGAGCCAAGCTAAGTGGCATAAAGCTGCAATTGTCCCATCCCATCTAACAAAGACATTTACTGAGTAAGGTTTTGCTGTGGCACAGTAACAAAGCAACCCACAGCCCACCTCAGAGGAAGGGAAGGGGATGAACAACTTCCCAACCTCCCTGAATCCCCCTCCCCCATGCTGTCAGCACTGCTAACCTGTTGCTTCTCCATGTATTTGCTCACCAGCAAAAGTCCTGCGGGAAGGGGCTGTTCAACCTCACCTGCAGCCACCTCAACCTGGTGGAGAAAGAATACTTCGGGCTGGAGTTCTGCACCCAGGCTGGGAACCACGTGAGTGCGTGCGCTGTGCCCATAGCGTGGCAGCAGCGTCCTGCATCAGGACACTGGGTGGAAAATGGAGATGGGAGCACCTTGAAAACGGGAGCTGCAGGTCAGAGCCAGGCTGACAAAGCCCTGGGGACAACCACAGCTTGCTCATGGGGTTTACCCATAGCCACCTGTGGCAGTGCAGGATAGCCCCACAATGGCCAGCGCTCCTTTATGGCATCCCACCATGGTGCTGCTGCTTTCATTTCTGCTGGCCTCGTGCTGTTTGCTGACTTAACTCTTTGTTGTCTTGTTTCAGGTCTGGTTGGAGCCTCTAAAGCCCATAACAAAGCAGATTAAAAGTAAGTATTGCCAGAATTAGGTTCTTCTCAATCATTGTGGAGCCAGACAGCAATGCACTCTGCTGTCCTTTGTGCCTGGGGATGGGAGCTCTGCCTTCTGGCGTTTACCTGCCCTCCCTTAATTGGTTGAGGCTGGGCAGGGTTGTTTGCAAAGACACATGAACCCTTGCAGGAATGTTTCTGCAAAGTGCTAGCTGCATGTTTTAGGCTTGAGCTGTTCATATCCCAACAGCTGGGGTGGCTGTGTGTGTGCATTGCTGTGCTGGCAGAGCAGTGGGGATCGTTTTCTGAATGCCCTCCTTTCCCATCTGCAGCTCTTTGCAGCCCAGGTGCCCAGCTGTAAGGCATTCAGCACGCGGTGACCCCGCTCCCTCCCATACCCAAGGCCCCACTGCTGCATGGTGATGCTGCGCAGCCCGACCTGAATGCATGAGCAGTGCTAACACAGCCCCTCCTTCAGCCTGTTCCTGCCCCTGCAATGAACCAAATGATATTTGCTACAAATACACGATGGTTAGGAGGTGGTCAAAAGCACAGGGCCATGCATGACCCTGTGTTTCTATCGGCAGTCCTGGAGCTGTCCTGCAGTGGCTCTCTTGGTGCCCACAGAGTTGGCTTCATACCTCCATATGCTTTGCCTTGGGTTTGGCTGCTTGCTCTTGCTTGTCTCACAGAACAGCTCTGCCCAGTTGGAATCCCCTGAAGCTGGTGCATCCCAAGGGCTCAAAGGGCCAGGGAAACCCCATGGATTTTGCTGAGGGTTTAACATGCAGCCCCAATGGCAGCTGCACCACTCCAGGGCAACACCCAGAGCATTGCTCCCACAGGAACCCCTTCCTGATGCAGAAATCCCCTTCCTGACCCTTAACAATTTCAAGTAATTTGGGGTCATGTTTTCTGTAATGCTATTGAGGAGTTCACCTCCTTGTTTATTTCCATCCATGGTGGTGGGGTCTGGGCAGGATGGCAGAGCTTCTGCTCCAGACCTGTAAGGGGCAGAGTAACATAAGGAGAGGTGTGTGTGAAGCGAGTTGTGAATGTTCTCCAGAGCCACGTGAAAGAAAACTTATGAAGGTGTTGTGTTTTAAGATCCTAAGGAGGTTCTTTTCAAATTTATGGTGAAATTTTTCCCAGTGGACCCCGGACACCTGCGAGAGGAGCTGACGAGGTACCGTGTTTGTTCTGTGCTCCCTCACTGCCCTGTCACCTTGTTTCTGCAGTCACTACGCATGTGTTCATTTCCTTACCATCATCCAACCCAACCTGTCTGTTTGCTGTGGTAATCCCAAATATTGACAGAGCCCCGTGCTGTACAAAACAAGACGCCAATGCGTATCTTTTCTCGATGCTCTGTTCTTATACAAAATCCACTCGATGGCAATGCAATGTGCTCGCTGCCAAATGTCTGAGCAGTTGGGCTCTCAGTCGTCTGGCTCTTGCCTCAAGCTGTGTTCTGAAAGAAGAGCCTCCATTTTATTTTTGATATGGACAGGGCAAGCTCTTAAGTTTCACAGAAAGCACTGCAAACAGGAACTAAGGATAAAACCAATGCAGTGCTTCTGCAGAACATTAGCCCCGAGAGCCACAGATGCCCTCCGAAGCATAAAGGAGTGTTAGCTCTGAAACCTACTAACGGCCATATGAGCAGCGGGGGCACGCTGCTCAAGGTGTCCCCAGATGGATCCTCCTTGGGGGGCCTGCATGCTCCTCCCATGCTCCCCCCTCCAGCCCTCCATCCTTTGGGCAGGGGCACAGGTGCACCTGGCTCTGTGTCCCATAGAAATATCCATGCTCAGGGCAGTTCCTGTCCCTCCTGCAGGTACCTCTTCACCCTGCAGATCAAGAAGGACCTGGCACTGGCGAGGCTGCCCTGCAGTGACAAGAGTGCAGCGCTGCTCGTCTCCCACCTGCTGCAGTGTAAGGGCAGCGGGGCTGCAGGGCTTTGCCTCAGCCACGCAGCACAGGGTGCCCCCAACCCTGCTCTCCTTGTGTCCCCCCTACAGCCGAGCTGGGTGACTTCCATGAGGAGACAGACCAGCAGCACCTGGCCACGCACAGGTACCTGCCCAACCAGGAGTACCTGGACAACAAGATCATGCACTACCACCGGCGGCACAGGTGAGGGCTGCTCTGCCTCTCCATCAGTGCTACAGCTTCTCAGTACCCTGGCATACCTGCACCCTAAAACCTTTTATTAATTCCTTCCATTTCCTGGTGTATTTGGGATTCCAGGGGGAAGACGCCGGCTGAATCAGATGCCCAGCTGCTGGACGTGGCCAGGAAGCTGGAGATGTATGGGATTCGCCCACACCCTGCCAGCGACGGCGAGGGAACGCAGATCAACCTGGCGGTGACACACATGGGGGTGCTGGTGCTGCGGGTGAGCACCACCTCCTATCCTCCTATCTTCCCCTGTCCCCCTGCCAGCTCCAAGCCCTTCCCAGTCCCACACAGCTCGGGACCTTGGAGCTGGTCTGGGCACCGCCCCAGGCTCAGCCTCTGTGCTTTGCCAGCTCGGGCTGCACGCTGCAGTGCGTGCCCATGCAGAGCCCTTGTCATTGCATGCACGTCTGTGTAAGCACCAAAGGTTACAGGGCTGCGTCACGCACGCTCACCGTGTAATCTTCCAGCAAAAATAGCCATCTACTGTCTGTGCAATTACATAATGCTGTAATCACAGTGTAGCAGCAGAGTAAATACAGACTTCCTCGCAGCCGGTGTGAAACAGCACTCGCCTCCCACACCAACTAACTTCAACCTGGGAACATCTTGCCAGCACAGAAAAAATCCTAACTGTGGGTCTGCAGTTGGCAATTAGTGCTGCCAGACCCCATGATTTATTGAAAGCCGTAAACACCCCCTGTGTGCAGGCATGATTGGAGCATCTGTGAGCTCATGGCAGCCTGAGCCCTCCCAGAAAGCCAAGAGGAGAATCAGTGCTGTAGTACAGCGTGGCACCAATTCCATCTGCTCCCACTGTGTGGCTGTGTCCAAATCAATGTGTAATGATAAGAAAGGTGAGGTGTGCTTGCAGTCTGTCCAAGCTGGCATTAAGGGCATGGAGGTGAGCTGAGCACTTCTTTCAAGAGCAGATTCTGCATTAACTCACCTGCCCCGTGGGCTGGAAAAGATGGGGTGCTGCTGTGACTGCTGTGAGTTTTCTCTTGGACTGCTGCAGTTTCAGCTTTAGGAGGCAGCATTCAGTCCTGAACATCAATTCCCACTCTTGGAACCAACTGATAGATCAGAACCGAACACCAGACCCCTGCAGCCCTTTGCCTAGAGCCAGGGAGGAGCACTGAGAGCTGCAGCAGCAGCTTGTGCAGAACCTGCTAGCTGAGCTCTGGCCCAGTTGTATTTCTGTATTCTCTGCTTGTCCTGTCCCACAGTAACGCTCTGTCCTTCCTTGCAGGGCAATACGAAGATTAACACGTTCAACTGGTCCAAAATTCGCAAACTGAGCTTCAAGAGGAAGCATTTTCTCATCAAGCTCCATGCAAACATTGCTGTAAGTGCTGTGCTGGGGCTTGGATGGGTAAGCAGCCAAACAGAGCCCTGCACCCTGAGCCCCGTGTGCTTGTCCCCTGCCATGCAGACTCTGTGCAAGGACACGTTGGAGTTCACTATGGCGAGCAGGGATGCCTGCAAGGCTTTCTGGAAGACATGCGTGGAGTACCATGCCTTCTTCCGGCTGTCTGAGGAGCCCAAGTCAAAGCCCAAAGCCCTTCTGTGCAGCAAGGGCTCGAGTTTCCGCTACAGGTAAGGGCCCAGGGGAAAACCTTGGTGTGAGGCTGCCCAGGGCCGGGCTGAGGGCACTGCTCACACCTTTCCATCCTCACTGCTGTAGTGGGAGGACGCAGAGGCAGCTGTTGGAGCATGGGAAGAAGGCGAAGATGAAAAGCTTACCCTTCGAGAGGTACTGGGAGGTGGGGGGGGGATTGGGGTGGCAGGGCCAAGGTGGGAGCCATGCACCCATCCATGCATTCGGCCTTGCAGGAAACATTATGCGTCCCACTACGATGAGAGGCAGTGCCGCTCCTCCCCGGACCTCCTGACGGATGTGTCCAAGCAGGTATGACCCTATGGGGAGGAGTGGGGAGCAGCTGGAGGCCGAGCCAACACCTGGCTCTTCATCCTACCGCTGGTCCTGCTTTGCCACTGGGCTCCCACCCACCTCTCATCCCACAGGTGGAGGAGATGCGCTTGGCCTATGGCAGCTGCGGCTCCTTCCACACCACCAGTGGGGTGCACACCTCCGAGCCCACGCTGGACAGCCGCCACAGCGGATCTGCCACAGCAATGATGTTTGCTGCCGAGCTGGAGCGCTCCAGGCCCGAAGTGATCCCAGCCTTCCTGCCCCACTCCAAGAGCAGCTCCGCCTTCCCCCTGCTTTACACCCAGCTGGAGCTGGAGCGGGCATGGGAGCCCACCGACCCCTTCAGCAGCAGGAACCCCTTGACGTCCTTCCGCCCCCACCACAAGTTTGCTGGGAGCAGCAGAAGCCCCTCAGTGGGCAACATGCGGGAGGTCAGCGTCAGGCCGCTGGTGTACATGGATGTGCCGTGCCCTCCGCTGCCACCCGCCCCGGCCTCCCAGCTCCTCTTCTATGTAGACAGGCCACCGCCGCCCCCGTGCCATGCGCCCAGCGAGGAGGCAGAGGGAGCGGCTGGTGGGTGCATCCCCGTGGCCACAAAAATGGCCAACTGGGGTCCCGGCAGCACCTGGATGGGGGAACTGCAGCACGAAGCCTCGCACAGGGCTGTGGGTGCCAGCGTGGGCTCAGCCAGGGAGAGAAGGCAGCCGGCTCGCTCCTTCGATTACAGCCTTCAGGAGCAGCCTCCCAAGCGCTCCTGGAGTCAGTCGGACATGAAAGCCATCCGCTTCCCCTACAGCTCTGAGTTCAGGCCCCTGGGTCCGTGCCCAGCCCTGAGCAGCAGGCAGGCCGGCATGCTGCAGCACGTGCTGGCCCAGCAGCGTGCAGTGCCAGGGCTGCGGCGTGCCGCTGAGCGCTACGTGGGCAGCAGCACCGAGTCCAGCGACTCCGATTGCGACCTCCTGGCTGCTGACTACTGCTCCCTGTATGGCAGAGTGCTGCGGGCACCCAGGGCCCGTGTGCGGCTGTCCTCGGGCAGCCTGCAGCTGGAGGAGGAGGAGGATGAAGAGGTGTCCTTGGCCACAGGTGCTGCTGAAGAGAGGACTTGCAGGGGGGCCTCCAGGTATTTCACATAGGTGCCTCTTGCCTGCCGAAAGGAGAGGCCGGGCAGAGCCAAGGCTGCTGAAGGATCACAGTCCTGCTTGTTGTTTGTGAAACAAGGTGGTTGGCTTGTATTGTGTGAGTGATGGTAGTTGTAGAGGATGTGTTAACAGATAGCTGAGGGCATCCAGAAGTACCCATCTCCTGTGGCACACAAGGAAGATGGCACATTGCTGTCACCAGGTTGTTCCCATGCTGGGGATCCAACACCACGCAGAAGGGCTAGGGATCTCCCAAAGCCCCACAGCCACCATCTCCAGTCCTCGCAAGGCTGGCTCAGAGCTCAGCCCCTGCTGTCATTATCCGTACACTGGGTGGAAAGGAAAAGGCAGCTGCATCCCATCAAAGTTCATAAACATCTTGTTTTCCCAGCCCCGGGGAAGCACACGCTTCCCCATCAGAGGGGAGCAGCATGGGCACAGAGCTGCCACTGTCCCAGCATAGAGCTTGTCTCCTACCTCACCTTGCAGTCATGCTCCCAGCCCTTGAGAGCAGCTGCATACATTTTTTTTTCTTTTTTCCTGTGTAATAAAAAGACCATTACCCTACAACTGCAGGCCATCTGCCAACAGGAGAATGGTGCTACAGAGGTACGATGTTAGAGGAAGATCTTTCTACTTTTTGTTTGATTTTTCATAACTCCATGAGGCTGTAGGACATGACTACAATAGGGACAGTATAGCTGTGAGATACTGGAATGGATTTCAGGAACACAGGAGCTGAAGCAAGGACCAAATAGATCAAGTACAAAGAACTAGGTTTATGGTTACTGTCTCACACTGAGCGTCATTGTCTTTTGTTTTAGAAGCTGGACAATAAAAAGCAGTTGTTCACAGCTGACATTTGGTTTCCTTTTTGCCTTATCTGATTGTGACCCACCTTCCCCTGCACCTCAGAGCTCCCTGGTAGCCCTCAGTGCTCCACAGGGCTGCTGGTCTCAGTTCCCTCTGTGCCTTCATTGTCTCAGCAACCACTAAGGCTCAATGTGTGCTGCTGAAAACAGCCACATTCTTGGTCAGCTGCCCAAAGAAACATGCTAGATCAATAGCAGAGCAGAGTTTACTTTTGCTCTAGATTCTTCCATGCTGGAGCTGTGAACTACCTTCACCCTCCATGCTGCTTTGGGATTGCTCTATTAAAGAAAGAGAAAACTTGAAGAGTTGTTTCTTCCCTTTCCCACACTGTACATCAAAAATAGCATTTGGGTGTTATGCAGTTCACATGCATAACAGGGTAGGGAAAAAGTAAGCTACTACAAAGTTTATACACAGTCCCTAAAGAACACCCCTTAAATATTTGTCATACCTTAAGAACACAGGGAAATCTGCAGTCACTGCTAGGTCCTGTGGAGCTGTGCAAAGGCAGGCCAAGATGAGCCTTGCCTTGGGTGCTGCCCAGAGTCCCACCAAAAGACATCATCCTCATCCAACTACAGTGCACAAACCTTCAGGAACTGTCAGCTCTGGCATGCAAGACTATGCTGGGAAAACTACATTGAGATGGAGAAATAAGGACTTGGAGGCTATTTTTGGATTTTTCCATTGAGCAGAGCTCTGGGACACAGCATGCACACTGTAACTCAGCACATCATACATGACGACCAGCAAACACAGCGGGGGAACAAAGGAGAAAGTGATAGAAATAAACATCTTACACTAAATTCATCACATAAACAGCTTTCCTGGAACCATGTAAGATAAAGAAACGATCACAGTAAGCACAAATGCAAAGGGATAACCAAGAAAATCCTTAACCATGGGATTAATATGGGATGTATGGGACAGTATAGGACGCTGTCTCTTCTTAGCCCCATTCACCAAAAAAAGGAAAGAATATCAACTGAGCACTAGTAAAAGAAAACCAGGGATGGAGGGATGACAGAAGGATTTGAACAGCTGATGGTGGAAGATATCAGTACACAGGAAAAGGCAAAGGTACTCATTAAGCAAGCAAGCAGTACTACCTGTGTGTGTGTATTAGGGTATAAAACATCAGAACGTACACAGTACAGGAAGAACATCACTCTGGAGGAGCACTAAGGTTTTAGCCTATCTAACTCATTTCTGTGTTAAGAGTAACTTTGTTCTTTGGAACAGTGTGAAATAAGGCCAGCCAGCATACACACCAACACAACTTTGCAAAGAAAATAGTTTTATTCCAGCGTTAAGTCATGAAACAGTGTGATAAAAACCAGGCTTTTAACAAATACTAAGCTTTGTGCAAACATTAAGAATCTATATACTCTCCTACCCAACTACTGACACCCAACTGAGTGCAAGAACAGGCTTTCACTATACCACATGCTTACCACATAGAAGAGTATCAGAGAAATCAGCTGGGGTTTCATCAAGAAAGATATACACTTCAATACCAATTCTTCTCAATGTACAGTTGGACAACTAACAAACCAACCAAGATGGCTCTTGCCTATTTTGGTACCTTTTCCCATTGGTTACCTGCTAGCAACAGAACAGTGTTAAGTTACACAGTTCAACAACTAATACAGAATGGGGAAAAAGTCAACTGTCCTCTAAAAACCAGTAGCACAGACATCCATTCTTGAAGAGTTACTGTCCTATGAAGCAGAGATCTTAAGTGCAAAAATGACACGTGCAGTAAAATGAAGTTTTAAAGGGACTGATGCTGTAAGAGAACGACAACGTGGATTATTTCCCCTCCACGCACTGTCCTAACAGGTAGGTTTACATCCACCCACTTCATGGGGCGCACCAACGTTCAGCAACTTGTCCTATTTGTGGTGTGACTACATGTTCCTTTCTCCCCTTAATTCACTACTCCCAGCTACCCAGAATTGGTGACAGAGTTGCATAGAAAAGACCCTGAGTCCACAGGCCAGAGCCACCACTCAAAACATTCAACAGAACTCCCATCACCCCTCCACTTGGCCTCGTAAAAAAAGCACCTTAAAAGGAGGTGGCACGGAATAAAAACGTGCTTTTACTTCTGAGAAATTAGTATGCAGGTGTATAAAATGAGATTTAGCAGACAGGTGCAGCAGACAGAAGCTGAGGCCTTTCTGCACCATGCTCCATGGCACCCAGCAGCATTCCCACACCTGCACGCGGCTGCCGGAGCACCAATGCTTGTCTGACCCTGAAGATGCCTCTGTGGGACTGAAACCAAGCTGATCACTGGAGCTGCACTCCGTGCTGCACAGCAGCTGCTGGGATAAGAACAGCATGGGGGTGGGGGGACCCCAAGCCTTTCTAATGAGGATGCCCACGCAGCTCTGCGTGCCTCAGCCGAAAACCAACGCCAGCCTTCAGGGGGATTCCACACCTCTGCACGTCTATTGGAAACCCAGAACAAAACGCACGACAGAAGAAGCTTGTGAAAGTTTACAGAACTTAAATATTTATTTTTAAACCATTTAAAACCCCCCAAAACATTGAAATAAGCTTCATCTATAAACAGATTTACAAGACTACCAACTACAGAAGCTAGAGGAGCACTACAATTTGTTTCTGTGATGCAGTTATTCTGTAAAGCTTCAGATCAACTGTATTTACAACTTCTGCTGCTTTTACATTTATAAAAATATTTATTTAATCCATAACATTGTTTTCAAAAACTATTTCCAGACTTTGTTTCTCAGATATAAATTCTAATCGAATTTCAGTTATATAGCAGATGAAAGTTTTAAACAGAAACACTTTCTTAAAATTAAAACAAGGAATTAAAAGTAATTTCTTTTTTTTTTTTTTTTTTTTATACAGTGTAGGCACCATTGAAAATAATTGTCCTTGGCATATCTAACCACCATCTCTCACAAGTGTCCTTTATATAAAAACGATGTAATGGCAACATTTGACTAAAAATGCAGTATTTACTTGCACACCATTACTTTTTCAATATTTGGCAGATATATTTCAGATTCTTTAAAATGACTTTTGTGCAAAAACAAAATGTGCAGGTCTGAACCATAAAATAAACACACCCAGCCTTTATCAAAAAAATAAATTTACACCAACAGTTGCACAGCTAAGTACTGAAAAACAATCCCAGTTCAAAACTTCAGCATAATATACATACTGGGTTGAAAAAAGAAGGAAAAAAAAGAACAAAACCAAAACAAAACAGAAGAGATTACCCATCTAGCAGTACCATAAATATATAACTGAAAGCAACTTTATAGTCTTACCTACTTTTTATGAAAAAAATCACTCCGTACTGCACAGTACTACCTGTGTGTGAAAGAATATCTATAACTCAGCTCTTTGCATATTAACTGGTAAATACATATTTAAAATACACTTCCAGAAAATTATAAACAAATTATGTCGATGTATTTAATGTATTTAAGAACAAAAACGTGTATAAATATCTTACAGGAGAAACAACACCACCACAAAGAACGCTGGTGTTACGCTTATACCTGCTCGTGAGGTACGGTCATGCGACGCTCGGCTTCTCTGGCTCCCTTCCACCCAGGTACTTGTAGTCAGAGGAGAAACATTAAATTAAATTGGACTTCAGGTTCCGTCCATTATTGCCAAAAGCCCCACCCCCTCAACTGTATTGCTTTAATTTTCCTTCCGTTGACGATGTAAGATCGAGTTCCTACTTGTTCTAAAGGTAATACACGTACTGTACATCAGGACAGTCCTGTTGCTACATATCACCTGCAAACTATTGACATATTGCTCTCAAATGTATTTAATCATAGAGCTGCCTAAAATACTGTACCAATTTAGAATCGTTGTAGATACTGTTGCAGGTTTATTTCCCAGGGCACGATAACTATATGCTGGTTGAAGCAGGTGCTACAGCAATAACCTTGCCACTACGTTTTGAACACGCTCGTGAAAAAGCTATTTTCTCTGAAGCTTGTTAGTGATTTACAAAAGTTTAACTCAGGAATACAAAAGACCTGTACATCCCTGTGCACAGGAACAAAACAGCATCAAAACATACTGTACTCGCACTTCCTATTAACTAAAGTAATGGTTATTTCTAAAAGCAAAACTGCACCTCAACTTTTATCAGATTAAACAGGTGAAACTACAATATTAAAAGTTGTTCTTTACAAAATAATTTCCTGAAAATATAAAACCATGTGCACTGCCACAAAATAGTTGAGTAGGTTCTTTCAAATCCTCAAATCACCATCAATATGTTGCAAAGATCCAAAAGGCACAAGGAGCTCATGAGCTAAGCACTGCCAAGCTTGAAGTAGTTTTGGTGGGTTTCACTGGGTCCATACGAAACAGCAGTCAATTATGTGAAGTTTCTTAGGATGAGTCATTAACAGAAAATCTACAGGTATGAAAATGCAAGGAAGAGTGTTAATTACTATATTTTGGTGTGGCAAACAGCAAGTAACTACCTGTGCATCCTTAAACTGGGAAGTGCCTTCACCTCATCCTAACAGCTCAAAGGAAAACAAACAAGAAAATACACACCAGAATACACATCCAGAAAACATTCCCTAGAAAGATAATGGAAAAGGAGACTCCTTGACTTACTTGCTATGAACGTGCTTAAGATATAACTGCAGGCTAAACTGAAGGGAACAAAGTGTAACAGCTCCAATAAAACTGCAGTGCTAACAGCAGAAAAAGTCACCGTTTCTTATTAGCTTTTGTTTCAATAACCAGAAGTGTTCTGTATGAACAAGGAAGCTAAAAGCTGAGCCCTATATGTAGCAGATCTTTCACTTATCAAAGAACTGTACTCAAATCTCCCTAACACACAAAGTGCTCAAAATCAAACAGCTTTTCCCAAATGGAAGTGCTTCCCCCCAGCACACAACACATGCAATACTTACTTCTGAAATTTCTCCATAAGTTTCTTCACCATCTTATCTGTGATCCCTGGAC